GGACACCTATACACATCTTAATTTGTCTGAATGGCTTTGTCAAAGTCTAGACCTAAATCCAGTTAAGAACAAGCTTTGAAAAAGTCATTTTCACAATTGCCCTCTGACCAGTCTGATTGAGATTGAGCTATTTTGCAAATAATTATTGGAACAACATTGGTGCAAAATGAAAAACCGGAAATGAAAAAAATAAATACAACTAAAATAACTTGTAGCTCAAATATCTTTATCCTGCACAGTGTTGACTTTGGAGATTAAATACAAAGTAAACCCTTCCATGACTTCTTACTTTGATTTTTATAATATAGCTCCATTATATCCTAACCCTATGAAAAAAAATTGCTGTGAAAAGTTTCCAGTTGTAATATAAATTAATAAAAAGTTTAAAGGGGGTGGATATTTTTCAAGGCAAAGAATATTTTGGAGGCTCAGAGAGCTACAGTCTGCTTTCAGGTCAGAGACAGTCAGTCTAAATAGTAACGGAGGCTCCTAGAATAGAAATGATCACCACATTACCACAATCCTGCATGCATCCTGGTCTCAGATTAAACACTAGGATAAAAAAAAAAACATCTTGCAGTTATCATTATTATTGTTACTACTATGCAAAGCTTTGCTTTGAAAGAGTTTTACAGTGTTGGTGAGTTTCACATATGTCAATATTTAGAAAAAGGAAAATGATTCATGTTAAAATGTTATAGTAAAGTCTTTGCTGTTTACTGTTAGAAACACGACTACACTGCAAGTCTGAATGCACCACAGAGTTATTAGCCTTAACTACTTTCTGCAGTCTCTCAAAACCTCTTTTTAAACTTTTTTCTTTGTATTTTCTTCTTTGTGTTAATATTTTCTTCGATGATTCTTTGTTTGTTTTCCATTTGGGTTCTTGTTATTGCCCTGACATGCCCCTATACTCTGGAGTTTGTCAGTCGCAGCCGTCATAAGGTGTTGAGTTTCCACTCCCTAAGAAGTCTCCTCCTCTCCTCTGGTGCCCTCTCCTTCTGCTCCACTCCCTTTGCGGATATATGGAGGCCCTGCCCTCCCAAACCAGTCACGTTGCATCGAGCATGTCCTCCCGATGAATATCTGCTTCAAGAACTCTTTCAAAAACTCTGTAGCAGCTCATAGAGAGGATCACGACGTATTGCATTAGTGGTGTCGTCTGTGTATGCAGAAAGTGTTGCTTTTTTAACACCTCGGTCAAATCTGGGAGCTGAAAACATCACAGAGAGAAGTACAGTGTGCTGGGAGGAGAAAATAAAGCATACAATGGCAGGCTTCCTCACCAGCTGTAGCTCAGTTTTGAAATCCCCATCATCTTTCGACTTCCTTCCTTCCTCTGCTGCACACTCTGTGTCACACAAATACACAAGCTTGCACAGACACATGCACCGCACTTTGGCTGCACACACTTACAGCTTATGCTGGGGTCTTTGTTTATCCAAAAAGGTCACACCAGAAAATTGTTGGGGGCAGGGTGTGTGCGTGCTTCGCTTCAGCTCTGCCTGTAACACAAGAAGCAAATATAGACGACGAGAGATATTCACAGAGGGAGCCTATTCATCGGCACTTTGTTTACTTCCCCCTCTGCACAACCGATTGATATGATATATATAAAGCAAGGTGAAAGAAAAGGAGTGCTGTCGTGAATTTGGAGGCGGGACAACAACAAGGTTCATCTGTATGTGTGGTGGAAAAAGAGAGAGTCTGCATAGACAGCGTTTCTCAGGCCCAGTAGAGCAGAGCTGCAGGAGTGGGTGGAGTTGGGCTGAGGGTAAACATCACCATGCCCCACAATCCTTTGCACTTGTGGAATTTTGACACAGAAATGCCAGAGGTTGCAGAGCTGGTTTATCAGAATTCCTCGCACATGCTTTTCAGTTTTTTTCAGCCCTGGATTTGCTGAGGGGCACACATGTATGTTTTTGTAAAAACACATTTATGAATGAGGAAATGCATTCATGTCGCATGCAATGCATGCAGCAGATTTAAACAAAGTTCATTCAGGAAAACAGCTATGTTTTTTTTCCTCCTTTATCTTTTATAATTTGCCTCTCCTCCAGATCCTCTGTCCGGTTGCCTAAGCTGTTGTGAGGAAATTTTAACGTGTTCATCCATTGCAGAACTAACTGTCGCCAAATCAAACATACTGATAACACCGTTTGCACTGTCTTATCCAGCCTGGTTAGGTCAGGTTACAGCAAAGGGAGAGGGCTGTTAATGTATGTGCAAACTGCTCTGCATAAACATACACACAATCCATGCTCAGACATTTATCTATTGCAATGCCTTGCAAAATTAACTATACTATTTTAACTTTTCAACTTTTTGCTTTGATGCAGCTATACTTTTAAATGTTTTCTCAGCACAATTTCATCTGTTGGATCAGGATAAAATTGTTGGTATTTGTAAAGTAGAAAAACAAACAAGTTTTATATATATATATATATATATATATATATATTAATGTATTGGTAAAACAAATTCCAATGCTGACCTATATTCACTTAAGAATTTGCAGCCTTTCTTACTGATAAAGACACATCCTAAAAGACTAATGCATTGAAATGAGGAGGCTGAACACAAATCCATTCCACACTGCTTAATTATTATATGTTTTGGTTTTTTTTTTTTTTATCAAAACTAATTCTGCTGCAGCCTGTATAATTTTCCTTCCATTTCTCGGTTAAAGTTTGCAGTAAAACACTGAAGCCGAAGTGCTTTGAGGTATTATTTATGTTATAGGTGTTTTTAGAGAGATAGATGTCAAGTAACAAAGTACAAATACTTTGTTACTTTCCTTAAGTAGTAATTTTGATCTATACTGGAATAGGTATTTTTTAGATAACTTTTCACTTCAACACCTTACATTTCTTTGCAATTATCTCTACATTCTACTCCCTACATAAAAAAAACAAAACTTGTTAATTTAAGCTTGTTTGCGTTATGGCCTGCAGGTATTAAAAAAACAAACAAACATCAAAATAATAATAAGTTTGTTTTATCCAGACAATTTCTTTTAGGTTTGACTTGGTACTGCACAAACTTGTTCGCCCTATACCAAAATAAATACTTTTTCAAGATGATGCAAAATAAAATTTGACACTTTAAAATAATCATCCATAATTGTAGAAACATGTTCCTTTAATAGGGTAGTGCAGTAAAACATCCATCCTCAACATTTTTTTACTGCTTTACTTTTACTTTTATACTTTAAGTAGTTTTAAAAATGTTACTTTTACACTTTTACTTGAGTAAAAAGCTTGGATTGACACTCTTGTATAAAAGTGGTTTAAATAGGATTTATAGTACTGGTTGTGCAATAAACATTAATGGTTCTGGTTATAGGCTTTTCTCTACGTAAACATGCCAGTGAAATCCTACTTCAGTTCTGTTTTAACTCATTAACAGAGTCCACATTGTCTTCTTGTCCTGTGTGTGTTTGACAGATTGCAGACACTTACTCCATTGTGTGTAAAACTCAGAAAAAGAAACCTCCCATGGAGCACAACGGCGCAAAAACCCTCCCGCGATCCTTCGGAGGAGACAGAGGAAACCGAGGCCGAGGCAGAGGGGTCCAAGGACAGGCCCGTTCTCAAGAGGAGCCCTGCTATGAGCCTGTGGGGGACCGGTCTTGGTCCTCCCCTGTGGCTGAGTCAGACCCTGCATACGCTAGCATCGATGCCCACAGGAAGCGTGAGCAGGGGGCAACCAGTAACAGCACTGGTGGCGGTAGCGCTACTCTGAAGAGAAAGAAGCAAACCCCACAGCAGCAGCAGGCAGTACCAGCAGTACCACACGCCTCAGGGCCCGTTGCCCCTCCTGCTAGAGGCCTCCCAGGTGGGGAAAACTTCTATGAGACCATCAGCGATGTAAAACAGGGAGGCAACACCTCTGGCACTACCACCATCTTCACCTTTAATGACGGGATGGAGATGTATGTCACCGGCTTGTAGCACCCTGGTAGAGTCCTCTGGTCCAGATTCCAGGGATCTTTGTGCAGGTTGCTGTATATACCCAGGTCCTCTAGAGTCAATCAACATGAGGATCTATTTTGTGTTGACATCAGGTGCAAACAGGGTCTTAATCCAGGTTCAGACTTCCTTTGATTGGTCTGCACTTCAGAACCAGCCTAAGCCTAGTCCAGCCCAAAAAAATGGACCAAATACAGTTCAACAAAAACAAAAAGCAAAACAATGTATATATATAACTGTTTCACTGGCCATACTCACCCGCTTGTGAATTCTTTTCCATTATATCTTTATTTTTATATGGACACTGTACTCTTGAAAGAGTTTATGTGTCAACTCACAACCTGAGAAGAACACTTAAAAAAAAAAAATATATATATATATATATAAGAAAAAAAAAAGAAAATGTGCATGCATTGTGCAGTCTCACACAATAATAGACATGAAGATAGACATTAGTAGCAATGAAAGTGGATGTTTACAGAGTATAGGGTATGCAATCAGGTCACCAGTGCACAGATACATTCCTCATCTTGGGGTAGAGAATATGCACATTAAATGCGCTGTTATTTGCAGTGCTCCGCCCTACAAACGTACGCAAACATTAAACAGGTTCTGACGCTCGCTGACCTGTTGTCTGGAGGAGAGTGCTTGCGGTGCTTTGTTCAGACACAGACCTGTAATTTGCAGGCCTACTCAAACGCACATAAGTAAGTGAAGGTTATCGTCCTCATTCCACATAATGTCAGCTGTCAGTCCTCGTGATAAAGTTAGAAACTGAGCTTTTTGTTAAATAGCTCTTATATTAAGACGAACTATAAAACTTACTCCTTATATTTGACAAACTGTTGTTGGAGGCCTGCTGACACCACCCTCTGCTCAGATGCACACATGTTTGGCAGAGTCAGGCAAAATGATGTGTTCAGGTCGGGGGCAGCAAATGGCTTGTGCAAGAATTTCCCCAGTGCGATAATTTCCCAATCAGAGACTTTAACTGTACTGCAGGAATAACTGAGAGTATATTTGGGATAAAAAGCACGTATAAAAGTAAAAGATTTTCAGTACTAGTGCAGGATGCTTAATCCTTTTTGAGTTAGTGTCATTTCCTATGCAGATTGTAAACATCTTATTTTATAGCCACTGTAATTTTGCACAGGTCAACTGCCTGACTGCTCAGCTTAGCTGCGTGCTTAAAGGGTATATTAAAGCAGCGTTTTGATTTGCTCTGAGCACCCGAGCCACAACCAGAGCTCCCCGTAGCTCACCAGACTGTAGTTTTGTGGTTGAAATACTAACAGAGGGGTCTGGACTCCAAATAAAATAAAGAAAATAAAGAGCTAGACAAAAATATTACCGTTAAGTGTCTTTTCAAAAGTTATTCCTCCCCTTCTCCTCCGACTCGTGTCCAGCTTCTATGCTGTGTTCCCTTCCATTAGGAAAATCATCTTTCCCACGTAGCTTTAAGAATTATAAGAAATAAAAAAAAACAGTAAGATAATTATTTGTCCCTCTACATGTCTCCTCTCTCTTGTTTTTTGTTTCTTTGGTCAAAATGAAATGTGTCAGATTCTGAAGCTAATAATGATATTGATCAGACAAAGATAACCAGAGTAAAGATAAAATGCCTCTTTCAAATTTTATTTTCATTAATTAAATGGGGAAAAAAAACATCTATGCAATTGTGAGCCATTATGAAAAAATAACAGCCTCCTTAACCTAATTAATGGTTTTGCCACTGTAGTCAGTCTTTAACAACACAGTGACATCCACCCACTCCTGTTTGTAGATTTATCTCAACTCAGCAAAATCAGATGATTTTGGAGCATTAATGATCCAGTTAGGATCATGTTGCAGCATCTTAACCACATTAAATGTAACTCAAATTTACGTAGTTTAGACCCAAACCTTTAAATGCATCATTTCCTCTTTTTGTTAGAAATGAGGAAGCACTTAAGTTGTTATGTTTTATTGTGCTGGATAAGTCAAATATGTGTAAGTTTAACCAATCTAACTTTATAGCAGGACATTTTTCATGGGAATCTCTGCTATAAAGCCAGAGATCTATCAATCAAGGCAAGTTATCCTGGTCTTGAAGCAACAAAGCTGCCTTGTACCACCACAGTACCACCACCATGTTCACAAATGTTCTATGTTTACCTCATTTGTGAATAGTTACTGTAGCGGCACGCTAGCTCCTTTAGTTTCTTCTGTACCACATGGAAAAACAGTCTAGCAACTAGTATTGAAACGCGAGCGATTCCAGATGATGTTCTTCAACTTGTGATGTTTATTGAAAGAAAACAAAAATAAGAGAACATCCACATTTGTATAATATAAACTCGGTCAAAAACTGTGTTGCTTCCAGCATATCTGTTTTCCCCTCAGTCCTTATGTACAGTACTTAAAAGCAAACAAACAGAAAAAAAACACGTATACAATTACAGCATGCAGGAAGCCCAAAAATATGCATTTCAAATTGCATTTCTATATTCTATGCTTTTAATATTGGAGTTTTTTAAACTTAAATTATAATCTTAACAACAAACAAAATTATCAATCTTGTATTTTAACCTTTTTTAAAACTATAAATGAATTTGTCTCAAATTGGCTCTTACAGTTACTCTCTGTGAAGCTTAATAACCCCTTTATGGACTGGTAGGTGGGTAAGAGTGACCTTTATTATCGTCTGTTTTTAAACTTTCTTAGATTTTTTTTTTATGATCTCTTTCACTACTTCATGATATCAGACAGGTCCAATCTAAGTGAATTCTTAATTCTGTTGCTCTCATAGTAAACAGATGTGAGTGTAGTGAGATTAATATTAAAAAAAATTGGATAATTGTAAGATATTTTAGATATATTAGGACATAAGGAAGGCAATCTTTACATTTGGCTAGGTCTGTTTGGGGGCTATCCTTGTCTGATATTAAAATTCTGCTAATGATCTGAAACATTTACTCATGACAATGAAACTAATACAAAAGAAGCTTGTAAGGAGGAATAAATAAATTTTCAAAGACTGTAAAGGGAGAATTGTTTAAGGATACAGTCCACTTGTGTGACAAAAATGCAAACGGGATGCAAATTTCGAAAGGTTACATAGAGAAAAATATAAATGCTACTGTGTCAGAAAATATGTAAAAACAAATGAACACTGTATTTTAAAGCACTGTTTAATTTCTATCCTAATGATGATACATTTGATTAAATAGCTCACACCACTGCCATGAAAAGGGTAAATATATATATATATATATATTGTTGATGCAACCTCTTTCTTTTCTGCTTGAATAAGTGCATGCCTTGATATATGGAGATGAAAACAAATATTGTGGTACTTATCTCTAGTTTCTATTTTATGTTGTGCTTTTAACCATGTAATGTAAAGCCTCGTTTTGTTTAGCCAAAGCAACAACTTTAAGGAGCAGAAGAGAGCAGAAAGGACAGAGAGGTGCTGCTGGGAGAGAGTTGAAAGGTTGTTTATTCGTTTCCCCAGTGGGAGCAGGGAAAAGAAATCGAGTTGGGTTGGGGGGGTGTAAGGCTAGTCTGAAGCCGGATGAAGGTCAGCGTAAAAGGACAAGGACCAAGAGGGCTCTCCTCTTCTCTTATTTGTTTTTTTATTTTTTTTTTTTTTTTTTACATACAAGAGAAGCACACAGAATCCAGCCTCAAGTTTAAGTGGGGAAGCGTGTTAGTGTGTACTGCCACTCCCCCTTTCTGCTGTCGTACAGAGGAGGGCTCTTTGATGTCCTGTTCTGAGGGTCTCCAAGCAATATATGGGTGGTGGAGGGGGGCAGGCATACTCCCAGCCTCATAACAGCAATGCACCAACGGCTCATCTGTCTGGTACATGAGAAATGGCCAACAGCTGAGATGGGATCTCTCTAATACAATCACTTGGATATTGCTGTCATGCTCCATGTTTTTTTTGTTTGTTAGTTTTGTTTTCTTTGATTGTGGCTATCACATTATATGTTGCATTTTACCCTGAGAGAATGCACTGATCTGGGATACATTGTTGAGCGATGTTATTCACCGACAGAGACAAATATTCGTTGCACAAACCGTACGATGATGTAAATGTGTAAATTAATCTGTTGCTGTTCTGATGTTGTTCCTATGTAACATGCAGTATACAGTATATTTGTTGACGATGAAAAAAAAGAGATGGCTATCACCGACACGTAGTACTTTGTGTATAAAAAAGAAAACATTTCATGCTTTCCATGCAGATTCAGATGCTGTTTGTTAATTGTCTTAAACTATAAGTATAGGCCAGTACTGCTGTGACAGTCGTAGCCAATGTTGTATGTTCTAAAAGCACAGGGTTTAGTTTAAAAAATATATATATAAAAATAAATGAATAAATAAAGTGTGACAGTGCAGATATGCAAAAGATTGTAATGTTTTATATTACCCTTCATAAAATATTAAAGTGAGTTTTTACTTTTCTAATAAAGTGGCACATTATAACATGTTTGTGTTACATGCTTTCTTTTTTGTTTTGCAGGCAGATCTGCAGGGTTTTTCCCTCTTTGCTGCAGACTGACATTAATAACTCAATCATGCAATAACGCAAGATGCAATAAAATGTGTTTGTGTGGGATTAGACAATAAAAAGAAACTGCAGGCGTGTGCATTCTGGATCATTGAGCAACAGGTGGCATTTCATTTTTACTAACAAATATACACTGACAATGCAAACACAGCTGGGTAATGAAGCTGGGATTTCCACAGCAGGGCTTTGTTGAGTTTTTTTTTATTTTTGTTACAAGATTAAAGGGAAAAAAAGCTGCTTAAATGAGCCTACTATAGGCAGTGAGGCATCAATAGGCATTTTGGTGGATGTCAAGGCATTAAAGTGTATGTGTGTGGGGTAGAATTTGACAAATGATGCCAAAGGTAAGCTCCTTGTGATAGAAGGCCAAGATGAAGCATTGGAAACCAGAGGATCCCTTCTAAGAACATCAGTGGTGCAAGCTTGTAAGATTATATGTTTAATTTTACAACTTGCTTAGTTTAATTTGTATATTTCCCAATGGGTGAACTGTATATTTTTTGGTACAATTCTAAGGAATTTGGGCAAAATGTCAGGAATACACCATACTGTGGGAATGAGATGTGGATTAAACATGTTCATAACTGCAGATTGATTATATTTATTTATTGATGTATTTATTCAAGCTATAAATACAGGATCGGGATCCACGTTGCATTGTGCTCATGCACCATAGCAAGCTTGTAATCTTCTGCAGAGCTACTTCCTTTCACTTTAATGTGCATAAAATACTTTTTTGCTGTGCAAAAGGTTTATTATTTAAAACTGCAGGGGGAAAACAGTAATAAACAACAGTTGCAACGGACTTCTTCCACTGTTAGTCGAAATCCTTCATTTCCTGCGTTGCTGCGCAGTTTGCTGGAGTGAAGGCTGTTTTTTCCCCTGAAACCTCCTCGTCGACAGACACCGGCCGGTAAAGTGCTCGTCACGCCCCCTCCTATCTTCCTACCACATTACTTTTAAGATTGAAAAAAATGTGACGTTGCAACCGCAACATCCAATCAGAATCAGTCTCCACGTGGACGCGTGCCAAAGTGAAATGTTTATGAACACTACGGACCAATAGGAGCGCAGATGAGGGGGCGTGGCATGGGTTTGGAGGAAAGAGGCAAAACAATCTTTTTATCCTTCTAACCGGTCGGCTTTTGGATATCCTGGGCTGCGGTTTTGACGGCAGCGAAGGAAAAAAAAAATTTCACATGTAGACTAGAATAGAAGTTACGTCTCAGAGAGCTCCTATCAAACTGCGACAATCCTGATAAATGTATCTGACTCTCGCGATTTGCACTAAAACCTACAGAAATCCGTCATCCTTCCTCTAGTCTCCACTCTCCCTGACTGAATATGGAGTCAAAATGCATATTGGAAAAGTCGTCGGTCGGGGCAGGCGTCGGCGGTGTGGTGGACTTCAATTACCGCCCGGGCCGCTACAACAGCCGGGTCCCGGTAATGGAAACAAGCAGCTACATACCGGGGCCCATTTTTTACAAAAACTTAACGGACGGAGGCTCGACGGTGGCGGTCAAACACGAGCGAACTTCATCCGCCGGGAGCGGGCACTCACTCGGTGGCGGAGTATTACAAGACGTGGAAAAAGTGAGTGCCTTCTCTAAGCTGTCAAAGTCACGCTGATACACAGGAACTATTCAAAATCCACGCAGGAGGAGAGGGTCAACATGAGGGCTTAGTTTGACATATGCCGCTAATGGCTTGTAACGGTAACAACCGAGATGCTGGCACGAGACAACTACAGATGTTAGCTTGTTATTGCATTTATCTCACCGCTTAAAGTGGTTTTTCAAAGAGCCATTTTTTTTTTACTACGGTGTAAATTTAAGAGTTTACGTTGGGTTTAAAAGACTTTTAATGGCGGCTGAAAAGTTTACAGCATAGAGGGGCAGGGACTCCTAGCTAGAAGCTTTACCCCCTCCCCCATGTCTTTAGGGTGGAGCTAGAGTGCTAGCTTCCTGGCTCCATAGGCCCCGGCTCCTTCACATAACCATAACAGCAGTTTAATAGAAATATGATTTTTGACTTTTTTTTTTTTTGCTTTGATTTATGCGTATTATTTTTATTTTCCAGGTATTACTTGCATCCTGCAAATCAAGTAACGGGGGGGATGTTTTTCTAGCAGTAACATACAAAAAAAAATATATTTATAAATATATATATATATCATTAATGTAATTCACTAGTCAGATTTTCATTGAAGTGAGAGCATTGCCTTGCTGTGTTTATGTCAGTGGTTCTTAGTTGGAGCCTGCCCTCTCTAGGTATATTGTTACTGTAGGGAGGGGGTAGGGAAGAACTACACATGCAGGACTAGGGGGGAAGGGGGGTATTGAAGAAAACTGGCTTAAATCAATATGATTGTTGGTTATAGCCTGACCATTTGAGGGGGATATATGCAAAGCTTTGGTTTTCTGTGCTAAAACAAACGTGGGCCCTTTCTTGATTTGTAAGTTTCCTATCAGTTGTTAATGATTTATTAGAATAAAAACGGGAAAAAAAGGACAAGTTGGTGCTGTTTGGGGTGGGGTGGATTTTTTATGGCTGCAGGAGGAGAGAAGGAGGGGTATTGAGCAAAACTTAGGTTTATATTAACATGTTTTTTTTTGGCGTTCACAGAATTGTTTGGACTTTATAAAAGGAGTTCTTTTAAAAAATCAGTAGACGAAATTATGTGAGGTGCAGTAAGTTTGTTTTAAACTTCAGTTTTAGAGAGGAGAAATACCAACAGTTAGTTAGGCAGACCCACTTTTTGTCTGTTTTTAACATTTTAATAAAACTTAAAATGTCTATGTTTATATTGGTGGGAAACAAAGGTTTCTTTGTAGCAGATATTAAACTGGAGACAGTTTCTAGCTTTGTGATAAGGTTCTCTGTAACATTGCATTCCATCTGTAAATATCCAATCATTGCAAGATCTTCATGAGAACATGGGAATGTAAAAATGTCAATGCTAATGCACAACTGTAAAAAAACAAAAAATAAACAATCCATAAGTGGATTCAACTCTGCAAAGCTAGAGTAGAATGAGACACATGAGACAGATTTATACAGTGTTCAATGTAATAGCAGAGCAAACGGGGACAAATATTGGTGTAGAACCTTTAAGTGTCGGTGGTTAATATCAGCTAGCTTTTTTTTCTAAACATCAGCTTAGCAGTTAATTATTTGTATTCCTCTGTTTTCAGGATTTATTTACTTTTCTAAAAACTTACTGTGAGTGTGATCTAATATTTGTCTACTCCAGGGAGAGAAATTGTTGCCTTACTGGCGACATTGCAGATTTTTACCATAATAAATAGTAATAAAAATCTATTACAACATCATTGTAGGCTTTATTAACAACTTTTCTCATGGGTAAATGCCATTGCTCCTCCCTTAATTGTGTTTAACATGATATCGTTGGTTTATCATGTTTATCTTGACAGAAAGTGATTATTGCTATGTGTTAAAGGACTTTTGTTAAGGACTTTCAAAGTGAGATTAAAAGTCAGAAAAAATTAAACACTTAAACCAGCTATTGTATACACCAGAAACGAAGGCAGAGCGAAGTTAAACAGAAGACCATGTTTTGAGTAAAGCATTTTGAAAGCCTAGAGCACGTAAAGCATTTTTTAGTGTGAGTAATTGATTATGTAAAAGTTAAGCCCTTTAGCAAGAAATAAGGCCTGATTGTTTACCTTTCACATCAATCAGTATATCAATCCCATTGACTATCGAAGTTTAGGTTAACAGATAAAATGAACCCCTTTTATGCCTTACTTCTCTGTTGGTGTTTAGCCTTGTTATGACTGGCCTATTGGGCATTATATGTTTCCTTCTCAGGTTTTATTACATACAGGAAGATCACAGATGTCGTACTGCCTCCTCACTCCAATTACTGTCATGATTCTCCATTTTAATAGTTTTTACAATGTATAGCTGTCCAATGATAATGGTCAGAATTTTCATAAATTTGTTTTTTTTTAGAATTATTTTTAATCATTAATTAATTATTATTTTGAATATTTTAAAATTTAAGATGTTTTAAAATGTTTGACGTTTTGATATTTGAGTAACCAGGACTAGCCATCAGTTTAAGCTTTGTTACCTACTCATTAATACTAAAAGAAGACCCCAAGAGACCTATCCTCTGTTTCTACATGTGGGACATTATTAACTGCGTTCTTATTACAAATGTGTATAAAACTTTATTACACACACACACAAGAAAAGCACAACTTTGCATTTTCAGTGTTGTAAGAAATGCAATAAAATTCCCCAGGAAATAAGTTTGGTTATAAAAACAGCTAATCATCCTGTTTTTTTTTTTGTTTTTGTTTTTTTTACCACTAATGACATCCGGATGTCAATCACATGAGTCGTGATTTTTTTATGAGTTTTATGAAATACACCTATTGGATACGATCTAGAAAAAACACCTCACCGTTGTGTGAAAAACATATTGGATTTTTTGTTTCTCTTGATATTAGCATGTTTACATTAAGCCTGTGAAAATGTTTCAGTTACAGTGTCCTCAACTTGATGGTCATTATAAAATCAGCTAATGTGATAACCTATTCAAAATCCTGAACTGTACTAATGCTATAGTTAAATGAGAAACGGTTAAAACTAATTGCCAAATTACTGTCTAGATTAATTTCAAATATCAGCTGCCAGTATATATATGTATATTTTACTTTGATTTTCAGTGTTTAAAGGGGTTAAATGTGTTTTTGCTTCATTTTCCAGACAGGCCTCAGAGACCAAAAAGACATAATTTCAACCGGGATCCTGAAGAGGGCCACTCCAACACTCTGTCTTGGCACGGGCCGACAGTTACCAGGCAGCTCCATAAGTTTGGACATCAGAAACCCAGGAAAACAGGCAGAGCTGGCCAACAGCTTCAGGCCAGCACAGGGGCAGAATGTCCCACAGGCAGAGACACAACCCCTCTCCTCCTCCCACATCCCAGTCCCAAGAAACAGGTATGAAAACTAAAGTCAGCAACAGTCATTAACTCATTTATTTTTGGGTGAGTTTTCTGAAGTGCAGGATTTAACTTTAAGACAGAAAAATGTATTATATTGTGTGTAGAGCTCTCATGCCTGCGGGTAAATTGGCTGTGAATTTGGTGTTATAAATGCAGTTGGATCTAGCAGTGTTTGCATTCAGCTCTGACTTGTGTTCATGAGGTCCTAAGAGAAGTGAAATACACCATCTAGCCATAACTATCCAGTGGTTTTGGTCTGAAATGGTGCGGGGGAGTACTGGTTAACTGAGCACATGTTTAGTCCACCAGTTTCGAAATAGTATGCCTTGTGAGAGCCAGAGTTTGCAGTCAGCAGGCCAAAATTGCTCAATCACTTGACCGAAGGAGAAAGAAGGAGGCAGGCCACTGATAAGTCAGTTAACTGCTTTTTGGAATGTTTCTATCAGTGAGTAGTCATCGTATTGACTCCTTTATGTTTTCCTCTATAGTCCATTTTATGTGTTACTGCCTCTCTTTGCGTTAGACAGGAAGATGGGCTTTATTGTTTCTACTTGGATTTGTTTACTTAGTGTTTGTCTTTATTTTGGTTAGTTCACCTTTCCCTTTGTTTCCCTTTCCATAATTTTTCCATACGGTTGTATTCATGGTCTTTTCTGTGTAAACAACATGCACATTCAGAGTTGTCTGAAGAGCAAACATATCTAGAATCCTACAATAAACCTAATTCAGCGATGAGTTATTATGTAACATGAAGGGGGCTGGGAGTGGATGCCGGCTTAACCTTAAAACTGACCTTTATTTTCACTCCGCTGTTGGTTGCTTTTTGTCTCAAGTCACGACTTGTTTGTCAGAAAATGCTTACTGATTATTAAAATCCCCTGAGGCTGTACAGTTAAAGCTTTGGAAAAAAAAATATCTTCTCGTTTGTGAGCTGTAATGATATGTAAAAACAAAACAAAGAAAAACTATTACAGCTAAACTGAAAAAAAATAATCATGGAGCATGTTTGGTTCAAGGGTTTTTAAGACCACACTCCTTTACTTCCTTAACAAAATCTGAATTTCACATGTCACTGATCATGTATGCTATGCTGTGAATGAAGGTCTCATGGGAGCCTGCAAGACTGACTTTACTTTTAAATAAAACATACTTCTTATAGAATTCAGGTGCTGACCAGATGTAATGTTTTTTTTGTTTTTCTTTCCTTTAGTCAAAACAATCTCAACACACTGATTCTGTATTAACAAATTCAGCCCTGTCACTATGCTGACAGTAACGGAGATTGCATAACATTATATAACAGTGTGATCATAATACTTAAGCCTCTTTGTTTCCCTAGAATATGTATTATAACACAGACTCTTTTTGTATGTTTGATTTGTATTCAGTGATAAGAGACTTTTTTTTTTTTTTTTATTCTAATCATATCTGAAGGATGCTTCCTCTCCGATTCTGTTCGGCTAAGTTTGTTTTAAAAAGATTACTTGTGTTTTTGTGATAGGTTTCCTTAACTTACTGAAAACAATGCAAAAACCTGATAAACACATTTATCTCCCACTAAACAACATGGCAGCCCTTCATGCCAGCTGAACAATGCATACTTTTGTTAAGTCTAGTATCCACCTAGAATTGTAATTTACCCGTGCTATTAACCTTAGTAACTGAAGAATAAACAATTTTCTCTTACTGAATCCAGTGCGCCGATAGAATGCTTTCCCCATAAATGCTGGAAAAGTCAGGAGCTTTGAAGTTCAATAATTTAATAAGTTTTATTTAATTTTATATTAAATGTTCTAATTTTTTTGTTTTTCTCCAAACTTATTTGCCAGAGATCTCTCAGAATCTCCAGCATCTGTTTTTCTTAGTAGAGTCGGATAATTTGGCTTTAGCACGATGGCCTTTTGTTTCTATTTTTATACCCGACTAAAGACAGTTACAGTCTGCAACAAGCTTGTGTTGTGCTTCGCTTAGCGGTGTTTTAATTGGAGATAGCTTTACTTATAAGCTATGCTATTGCTAGCATTTGTCTATTTTAATACAACTTGCTAATAAGTTAGCACCAAACATGTTTTATCTGGCCTTGAGGAAACTCGCTAAACCTGGAAGTAGGTGTTGATAGGGAAGCCTGCCAGCAGACCACCATGTTTTTGTAAAAAAAAATGTAAAAGCATACAGGAAATATTTAAATCTGAGTATTGAGAATGCAGGACAATATATTTATCATTGACAATAATAATTAAACATAAACTGAGTCCTACTTTTTAAAAACTGCTTTAAATAACATACAATTACTCTTAAGTTAAATGTGAATTTAGTAATCAGCCAGTAAATCTTTGAATAAGCAGTGTTATGCTGGTAGCAATTCCAATTATAATATAATCAAATAGATAAAGAAACTGATCACTTAAAGACCAAGCAATTTATATAGTTCAGTTATTGCATCATTATCCACCTGCTCCATGTTAATCACTGGCGCAAAGACCAGAGAGATAGAAAACTAACATAAAACACCCTGTAGATATTACATTTTAGGTAATGTAATACATTTTTTTCATTATTTATTGTTTGCTTTGGCGTCTGAAGTATTTTGCCTCTGAAGTTGAAAGGCACATGTTTGCTCTCTCTTTAGTGGTGTCAGGTAATACATGTGTTTAGCAAAGCTACGCTCTCTGCACAGAACAATTCACATGACATAGACAGGAACCTGCCTCAGTCAATACAGTGGCTTAGTGCAAATCAGGCAAATGAGTCTGGATGCTTAAGCCACATCGGAAGCTGTCAGTGGTCCCTGTGATAAGGGCTGTCTGAATAGTGCTGGCAGTAAGGAAGGAGGGAAGAAGAGAAGACAGGAGAATTCATTCAGCATAAGGACCTCCCAACCTTGCTGTCTGCCACTCAGGAGGAACATAGTTTCCCACAATCCTTTGCATGATAGGATTTATAGGCGCAGCTCACCTCACAGAATTTTGTACTCTGCACATGGAAATTTATAAACTTTCATACGTTTTTGGCTTTAACTTCCTACTACATTCGTTTAAGTTTTGTTTTTTGTAGTTCCTTTTAAGAAGGGTGTAGTCCCGGTTTTGAAAAGGATCTCCCATGTGCGTTTCCATTGTGTTGTGATGTCTTAAAGGCTGTCTGTATTCAGTACAGCACCCCGAACACTCCTGTCCTACTGACAACAGTGTTTTTATTTTTTACCCCGCAAAAGGTGAAGGAATAGTAGCTAGGAGCTCATGCACAAGATTTCCCCTATCAGATCTAAACCTTAATTGATCAGAAGCTCAAAATCTGTGTTTACATGGACACTAAATAAAATGGACATGAGTATAGGGCTGGTTATGCTCCCGCAGCAGTGTGTCACAGTGCGCTTGTCGCAAATATTTTTGATTTATGGCAAATATTAAAGCGTGGTCTGCGCTATGTTACTCCACGCCATAATGCAAGAGGGACAATCACAAACTAGCTGTGGGTCTAGATACGGCCAAGGAAGTGGGGGCAAGTTTGTGTGACAACGGAGGGAAATGAGCGCGAAAAAGAACGGGTATCCAGGTGGAAAAGGGGTCCCAGCGTTCTTGCACACTTTGCTCTTTCCACAATGGTGGGCATATAAACATAACAAGCTTGTAAGATACCAAACAGGAAATACACATAGTGTAGAGCGGATGTAGATTTGACCAATCAGAGGCCTCCTGTCTGCAGTACTATCAGCGGTCACCTACAATTTGTGTCTGCGGCAGGGGCGGAGGCACATTTGCATTCACTGCGACACACACGCAGACAACCTGGTTTCTGAGTATAAATCAGCCTTATGTATACATATACCAAGCATTCGATGTGATTTAATCGTTCAGGTTGTAGTAAAAGAAGAAATTGCCCTTTTTGTAAACAGACTTGTACTTGTTTGCTCATCCTCAAACTTAGCCACTATTTGTTTCTGTCCCTCACATTTCGTTTTCTCTAGTCCTGTCTGGAAATGTAGTTTCTTTCCGTTATGCACCTCTGTTGCATCATACTTTTGTTTTTGGTGGTCGTGGGCTCAGCAGTACCTTATGCTAAGGCTCCTTTGCTACAGGGGTAGCGGGCAGGATGGGATATTTCTGCACATTTATTACCCCCTCCTCCACCAAGGAGGACCAGGAGCCAGTGGATAAAGGTTAGCAAAGAGAAAAATGTCATGGTGTCTCTGCACACATGTGCAGTGTAGATTATTTTACTCCAAAGATCCGAATGGGTGTTTACATGGAAACCAATCAGAATGGCGATCAGAAAAAAAACTTCCTTCTATCGAAAATAAATTTCTTTCTGATCGGACCCAATCGGATTTCAATTTTCAGTCTGACATCTTTACATTAAATCAGGCCTTTAGCCCATTTAGTTGGTTCCATGTAAATGTAGACAGTTATCCTTCTAAAGGTTTAAAAAAAAAAACTCTTAATCATCGTGGGAATCCATATTATTTTGAAAATACAAATCATTTTCAAATAAAGATGGGTGCTTCACATGTGAGTGCTTTGTACCTAATACCTGTCATTAGCATGTCCCGATCCCATATTCATACTGGAAATCAGTCCAATATTCAATGAAAAACAAATACCGCAACAAAATACGTCGATCTGCTTCTAAAATCTCAGGTATAAGCTACCTGATAAAAAAATACTCTGCTTTTTTTTTTAAAGTTAATGTGACCCATTGATTATACACTATGTACTGGTATAGATTAGTTTTTCTCTTACTTATTGTTGTTTACTATTTATTTTCTATTTAAATAATCTTACTTGATAAAGCCATTTTTGCTTCCTGCTGATATTTTCAGTAATTAAAGCTGCTATATTGGTATTTTAACAACAAAAAAATCAAAGTTGTATTGAGACATCCCATGATTTTTCATTTAAAATAACCGTTATAAGTCCATGCCATTTGTTGATGTTAGCAATTGCCTTTACTTCATTGTAGATAAAGGGAAAATTATCAGTTTCTGTTTTTTTTTTTAAA